CACTCACGACGCCAAGCCTGCAATGCAAATTCCGATCGATCCAGTGAGCCTGCTCATTTAGCAAGACCTGTCGAGAAGTTGAGAGAATACACCACACACACGCCCAGCGTCCACCAAGCGCCCCCATCTGCGAAATGACATCTTCCGCCCATCCCACCTTGCCAGAGTGCAACTTGAGTGACCGAGAGGCCGCGCGCGTTGCAAGTCTGACAGAGGTACAGTCTTGAGGTACAGAGCGCGAGATCGTTGATTGCGTGGCATTTGAGTTGAATCTAGAGTACACGAGGAATTATCAGAGTGCTGCAAACATTTTGAAGATGACGTGAAGATTTGGGCTGGTCAGCCAGCTGAGGGAATGGACTGGCAGTATAGCGGATCGCCACTCCTGACCACCCGTCTCGTTCCGCAGTGGGCAATGACGACTATAGTGGCGAGCGTGACGATGCGGTTGACGCGATCTCACGACGACCGGAGTTGTTGAAGATCAGATCTACTTGCGATTGATAAGAGTCAAGAATTCGTGCCTGGTCTTTGCGCTGTTCCTAAAGCAGCCGAGCATGCAGCTAGTGACGGTCGTCGCGCCTTGCTTTTGCACCCCACGGGCCGACATGCACATGTGCTCGCATTCGACCACAACAGCTACGCCTTGCGGGTGAATCGCTTCTTCTAGCGCCAAGGCCACTTGTTTGGTCAGACGCTCTTGCACTTGAAGTCGACGAGCGAATGTCTCTGCGATGCGCGCTAATTTCGACAAGCCGATCACCAAGCGATTCGGCAGGTAGCCAATGTGGATCTGAGCGCGGCAGCGCGGACCAGATTGTCAGAGGCAGCAATTCAGAGATCGTGCGACGAAAGGCCCAACTCACCTTGCCCCTGAAAGGGACCAAGTGATGCTCGCACAAGCTCGAGATCTCGATGTCCTTGACGATGACCATCTCGTCATGTTCTTCGTCAAAGATTGCATTCGATATGACGTCTATGTGCCACGGTGAAGGTCAACGATTGCGGTCACACGCGCCGAGCTGCTGCCACTCGCCAATCTCACCGCTTAGTCTCTCTTCGTAGCCACGCGTCATCCAAAGCAGCGCCTTGGCATACCTTTCCGGCGTCCTTCTCAGGCCCTCCCGATCCGGGTCTTCGCCGAGGCACTGCAAGATGGTCCTAACAGCGCCTGCTAGACGAGCTGAATTAGCAGCGGCCTGAGCCGGCGTATGATTGAGCCGATCGAGGGTGGACTTGGCTGCAAAAGCGCAGAAGAAGCGTTGAGCGGATTGGCGTAGTGCGCAACGCTAGCCTCAGCTAGCAGCCCTCCGCGGACACTCTACTGCCTTTTGAACACTTTCATGCAACAACTCACCTGGCCATCCTAGACCATCCTTGTCCATGACAGGAGTCCTCTGCCCGCTCGCACTAGCGCTCCTGAAGCTGTTCTGCCTCGACAGCAACTGATTGTGACCAGCACTGGCGCCCACGGGCAAGATAGGTGGGCTGCGAAAGTTGGAGACACCAGCAGACGACGACGAGCCAGCGTTGATGTTGCTCATGGATGTAGGCGCATGTCCCAAGGCCGCAGCAGGCGAGCTGGCTTCCCTCATGCTTTGAGTCAGACTGAGAATGGACTGAGTGCTCTCGGACAGTGAAGCGGGCGCGTCTAGACCCTCTCCAAGGAGCGCCAGGTCTTCATCGTCCGACTCCTCCGACTCCATTCCCGGAAGAGTCGCCTGGGAAGAAGCTGCGGCAAAGCTGTCCCTCTCCGCTTGCATCTCCTGCAGCAATTGTGCTCGTTCCAAGTGTTGCAGAGCAATGGGACGTGATGGGTGCGCTGTGGATGCGAGGTCCTGGACTGCGCTCATGCTAGCATCGTCCGCAGCGCTTCTTTTGCCCAACCCATGAAAGGCGCGATTCAAACTTTGCTTATCGCTGCGCTTCCCTTTGGGTCTGCATCCACCTCCTGGCGCTCCTGCCGTTGTATTGTTTAGAGCCAGCGAAGAGTGCTGCTTTGCACGCGTGTATGCGCTCTCAGCCTCTAGCTGTTCTGCCGAGGGGCCAGGGTTGGAGCCACAATCGAGACCGCTGTAAGCAGGCGTGCCATTGTTGGCGTCGCTCTTAGGCTGCGATGCATCGCTGATGCCCACTGTGCTGCCACTGAGCTCGTTCAGACGGCGCGCCTTGGTGTCCTCAGCATAGCCTGGCGCGTGGGCGGATATGCGATTTGGTGTCAGGGAAGCATCTTGCAGACCAGCTTGATCTAATGCTTGCGCGAAGAAGGAATCGAAGAAAGCTCGGCCTGGATTGCTCGCACATTGCGCGGATGCTGCTTCTTGGGACGAATCTTGCGCAGGAGGCGGCATGTTGGACAAAGGTTGGAGTGCAGACCTCCGTGCCCTGTGCTCACGCGATCCTGGAAGAAGTGATGGATCGATCTGCTGGAATAAGCGCTATAGCTTACCGCTATCTCGGGCAACGGTGATAGGGTCGCCGGTAGCCATGAAACAAGCAAGAGGTGTATCGTGAATCAAAATGCAAACCTTGATGAATCTGAATCGTGAATACATGTGACTGAGTGAATGTGAATCAATGGATAATCTTGATTCATATCGTGACTATCTCGAACGTGCACCTGATCGGTCTTGCGCGCAGTCAGAGTCTTGAGTCAAAGTGAAAGCGAAAAACGGCGCTTCTTTCACCTTGCATGGCCCCATATTTTGTGCCGAGACACGTGCACCGTTGAGCGGGCTGGTGTAGCTCATCACGTGACGAGATCCCGGTCCGCGCAAACGGATCTGGCTCGAGGTCCAGAGCGGCTCGCGGTGCCTACATGCAAACACGGTGGAGCATGACCTCGTGACGAGACACTCCGCAGAGAATTTCCGATTCCGATTGCTAAAACTTATGACTCGCATTCGAGAAGCAGGGACGAGGCGGACATAAAAAGCTGTCGCTGTGGCGCTGTATACACGCACCGTCGGACGAAGCATTCCGCGGCCTACCGCGGATCAATGGTGAATGCGTGAAATTCTCACCCGATGTGTCTAGCCGCAAAGCCAGGCGCTGACGGCACATGTGCACCTTCTGACAGCGCCACTGTACACCGAGCAGTGGGCCATGAATTGAGTTGACATGACTTCCAAACTTTTGCGCCAAGACTCAGGCTTTCAACCTGAATGGGTCGCGCGCATCATGTGGAGGATGTTGGTGCTCAGACGCGCGCATGCCGGCGGGCACTGGCGGGCCGATCAGCGCAGTCAAAAATGCTGCATGCATGCAGCAGCATGGACTGACTGCCATTTCAGCAGGCGCAACCGCGGCGGCTTGATTCACGCTTGAATGATTGAGATACGATCTCACAATTGTAAACTTCTCGCGCGCATGCATGCTTGCTTGCATCAGCAGTCAAGTGCTGGCCGCG